TCTATAATGCCGACATCCTTAGAACTAAAAACGGAAAAGCCTGCCAGCTTTACCTTCCTAGGCGATTTTCGACATACATCAACGACGATAACCCGATGCCAAAAAAGACTTTTCGTATGACAACGACAACTGATACGCAACAACAGCTTTTTTGCCAGAAGTCTACTCTCGCAATGTTTACTCCAATGTTTGTTTATGCTCTCATCTTCTCTACATAAATTTCTGAGTGCAACCAGATTTCTTCAACCTGTAATTACTTGGATAACGACAACGACTAATCGATTTTCTTCGACAAGAACAGCAGAAAACAACGACCAGCCAATCTCCTTGATTCATCATATCTGAATTCTATTCCGGAACATGATCAACTGCAACAATCGACCTGCTCGTTCAATCAGAATCTAACTTTCTTTTCCGTAGCCGAAATTTTGAACTGAGCTCAGGACAACAGAGAAACCTCAATTTGACATCCTACGAACCTAATCTCGACAACCGACGACTTCAACTTAGACAGCCAACTCGACAAGCTAGCACACTCAACTCGACATAGCTTAGGACTAAGCTACGGGACTCCCCACCCCAACTCCTCCCGATTTTTCAATTTTATTTTGCGATTGCAAAATAGGGCCGACTGTAAATTGCACTACTGTTTGATGCACAGTTTCAACAACATCAAGGCATATATATGTTGCACGCATATATATGCGACGACGAAGAAAATGAAATCATTCCAAAAAACTCATGAACACAAAAATTTTGAAACTATTCTTGACAATTGTTATTAGCTCTTGAAATAAAACAAGGAAACTAATTAAATAGAAAAACTTGAGATAAAACAGATACTACATTTTTTGAATTTACAAGTCTTGTTCTATTTGGGGTTTGAATTTTTTTTGTTTTCTTCTTTTCTGCGTTTTTTTCCTACGGCAATCAGAGTTTTGATGGCGTTTTCGGTACCACTAGTCGCTTCTATTATATAGTCCTATTAAACGGGCAATCGCGATAGATTTCTATGACCCGTTGAACCGGCTTGTAAACTCGTACGTCGCTGATGACCTCCCACCTTTATGATAAAAGTGAATTGGCGAATATTTGACTGTACGCTATCCTGAAGTTGATAGATGAAAATTAAATTTTTCCCCCACTAAAGCCCCGTTTATCTCCGTCGCATCATTATCCTCAGCCTCTTTCATGTTCGGCATTCAATGCCGATTGCAATTTGCCTACTTGCCTACAGCTTTCGAGTTAAACGCTATAACACCGCCCTCACTCGTACCACTTTGCTGTTAAGGCAATATGAGCTTCAAAACAGGGCTCTGTTAACTCCTTCGTATTATTTCTGCATCCTTTGTCGAGCAAATCACGAAGCATCCGACCAACTTTAGTCAATATAAGAATCGCAGCTTTTTATCTTACTTTTGACCAGTTACACTCGGTCTTGAAGCAACGTCTTGCCCTTTAATTTTTGATAATCTCCACTCTTTTGAAGTAAATGGGCATTTTTGGATGCAGGCCACAATTGAACTCTTAATGAGTGTGCTAATTTTGTTGCGTGTTTTTATGTTAGGGATCCAATTTTTGTATATCCACCTCCCCGATGGTCTGTAAATTCTTGCTCTCGGTCAGACAACGCCCGATAGCTGACTTGATCTTTCCGTTAGTTGAGTTTCTACTGAAAACGACAAACTACAGAGAAAAGGTGGGATATTTGGGTTTTTGTTTCCAATTTCGTTTTCAAACACGTAGCAAATTTAAATACTGGAGCATCCTGCTCACATTCAGGCAATAATAAGCAATGACCTTTCTTGAGCTGAAACTTCCTCGTGCAGAACGATCAAGGTTAACTTATTCAGTCAGGATAAAATAAATTGCGCTACTTATTCAGTTAGACTGAGTAAAAACTCAGTTAGGCTACCATAGGTTCTGGAAGAGTTGACACAGAGATGGTATGAAAAATTGACTAGTGTAATATTCTGTAGCTCCGCTTTGTTTCACCATATCTCCCAATTTTTTTCATCAGTCTGCGTTAGATTTTGTGTCACGCTTCTTAGCTACATCGTGTCCATCTAAGATGAGCAACATTTTGCTTTATTGTTCCGACTTTCGATACGAAACTAACGGAATATTTGTGCTCTAGTGGGTTTTTTTTTCTACAGACAAATTTCGACTTTTTAACTAGCCATATTTGACGAAGTTTTTTTTATAAAACTTAAAAATTTGTTGTCCTGAGCAACAATTTGAAAAAAAAACATTTCACCTGTGATTATTTTTCGTTAGGTTATGGGCGTTTAAAGATTGACATTTTGGCCGATTTGGGACAATTAACGCGCGATATATTTCGCGCTATAAACGCGTAAGCGAGATTTAATCCGTCTTAGAAATCGTTCCAAATTGGTTGAAAGAAGCTTATTTGCCATAATTGATTTGTTAATCAATAATTTGGATATAGATAATTTTTTAGGATACTTTGTACTCTCACAAAAAGTAATCATGGTGACCAGAAAAATGATAACAAGACTGGTCGTATCAGGGCGAAGCCCTGAATGTTCCGACTGCCTTTTAAGGTTTATGGAGCAGTAATAACATAAAAAATTAAATGAAATAATGGAGCAGTAATAATATAAAAAATTAAATGAAATTAATTGTCCCAAATTAGCCAAAATGGCAATCTTTAAACCCCCATAAATTTACAAAAAATAATCACAGGTGAATTATCTCTTCAAATTTAAGCTCAGGACAACCATTAATTTTTGAATGATATAAAAAAATTCCGTCAAAATGGCTAGTTAAAAAGTCGAAATTTGTCTGAAGAAAAGAAAACCACCCCGAGCACAAATGTTCCGTTACTTTCGTATCGAAAGTCGGAAAAATAATCAAAATTACCGACAAACACTGATAGCGCACAGTTACATCCGTGATGAAGGAAGTGCAGCGGAGCAAGCGGTCGCTCGCTTCTTGCCAATGCCGAGTTTGAAATTGTTGTTCCGACTAGCTAATTGTTTTGATTTTACTAGAAAATTGATTTGCTACAAAACAGTCACCTAAGAGTGTTAGAACCTCAAAGCATAATTTGAGTGAAGCGTGTCAATCAAAAAACAGTTTTCACTGCCCTGTTCAATTTATAGATTAATCTGATGTCAGAGAAGTTATTTTGTTTGCATATTGTTATCTGTCGACATGGAGATAACGCTGTGAACATGAATCAATAGTTCGAACTGTCGACAGAGTGGACGTAGACACCTGTGATAGCAGAACTTGATCTCAAGACGATATTTTTTATGATTTTATCTTTGTTTTAAGAGCTGTCTGGTGCGCATTTCTTGATCACTTTGCTTCAGCTTTGTAAATCACCTTCACCTCTTTTAAAGTCTGAAACTCAAAGTTTTGAAAAGTAATTTTTAGTCTGAAGCTTAAAAAATTATTTTCGTGCGAGTGTGAGTTTTTTATTACATATTTGCTATTATATTCGCAAAAAATTCCTATGTAACCACAAAACAAGTTGAATTTTTGTGTCTTTCGACGCCATGTTAAGCACAAAGGGCGGAATTTGGAGTCATGCACTCTTATAATTAGAACAAACAAAATGCTCGTATCAAGGCGACACAGTCAAAGTTCCGATTGCTTCTTACGCTTTATAGAATAATGTTCGCTATGAAAAAAAATGTTTGAAAAATGTTCGCTTTGTTTAGTATAAAGCAAAGTTCTAAACAGACCGAATATGATGCCTCAATTCAAATTGGCACTACTTTCCAAGACCGATTAAATCGCCACTCACGCGGTAATAAAACGAAATTATCGCGCATTAATTATTGTCACAAATTGTCGAAATAGGCAATTAATCAATGAACCCCCATAACTTTACAAATAAACTACTCGCACCCGAGCTTAGGCGTAAGTTGTCGACTATAACGGCTGATTATGTTGGTAATTTGACAGGGGGCTATTCTCATGCGCGAAAGACCGAATGAGCGAAAAAAACTCGTGAGCGAAGAACCGAAAACAAAATTAGCCGAAAGTCATTTTTTAAAAAGAAACAATTGCCATTCAGTTGAATGAAGCAATATTTTGCTTCTTTCATAACGAAACCCTTGAAATATAAAGTTTTGTTCCAATTCGGCCAATATCAATATTCAGTCCCTGGAAATGTTTACTTTCTTTCCAAATTTTAGTTTACTGAAATCTGATTGGCTGATTTTTTGATTGACGCGCATTCGGTCCTTCGTCTATGAGGAATTCCACCATTTGACCATCATAACTGATTATTATTGTGATATTTTTAAAGAGATTATAATCTCTTCTAAACGATTTTATTTGACTTTAGCTCATACAAAAACTCTTTAAATCGAATATAATCTGTATCTTGCCGAAACTTTTTCACACCAAAAGTATTACTCAATTAAATCATATTGGTTATTTTTTTTCGGTCGATATCAAATCTCTAAAAGTAAGATATCTGTCACACTTTCGTTCATCTGAGCTCAAAAATTTACCACGAAGCAAAAGTTTCATAGAGATTCCTTCTTTTTAGATGAAAGGTTCCCCGGGTAGGTGAAAAACAGTTCTATCACATACATCATGAAACTAAATCAATTCGCTGATATTTTTCAGCTCTAATCGAGAAGAAATGAACTCTTTCTGTCTCAGAAATACATTTAATTACGTTTACTGTATGTGCTTTGTGTTTCTCTGGAGATAGAAAAATTGTTGTGACAGCAAATGCATAGTTCAAACTGTCGACATAGCGTTATAATCAGACTATGACGCTCTGCCCCAATTTTTTTCTGCCGATTTTATTTCTCAGTAACTAATTTAATCGCTCTTTACTCTTTATTTCTGAGAAACAAATTCATTCGCTTTTTACTAGTTGTGTTTTGTGTTTCTCTGGAAATGGAAAAATGTAGTGAAAGTAAATGCATAACTCAAACTGTCGACAGAGCGTTTTAATCGAGCTATGACGCTCTGTCGACATTTTGGTTTACAGATTTGCATTCAATTTTGTTTCGCTCTGTCGATAGAAACACATAACACTAGATTATAGCAAAGAGAATTCATTTGACTAACATAAATCTATCATTTTGTTTCCTATCCTTAACATTAATAATATGGCAGCGAATTTACAAGTTAGATCGTACAGTGTGGTAGAAAAGAACTTAACGTCGTCCCAGCCATTAGCAGCTGTCGCAATTGCTTATTTGGTGCCATCGTTCACTAAACACTGGGGAGTTGTGCTGGATGTTTATGATGGCAATGACATACCAAGGTATACTCCCGGGTTCACCAAAACTTCTTATCATACAATTTCCATATATGAGAAACTTCTTCTCATACAATTTCATACAATTCCATACGTACAGAAAATTGTATGAAAACTCTATGATGAGCATTTTTCCATATATGACAATTGTATGATAAGTGTTTCCCATAAACCAAAAATTTTGATTTTTTCTTTCTAAATTTAGTTTCTGAAAAATTTTTGATTGTAATTGCAACCGAACACAAGTGACAAAGACCTTGGTTACTCAAAACACCAAAGATTGGACGGTCTTGCATTTACAATGCATAGAAAACGCGACCTGAATTTGGCTGTCTTTCACAATTGATATAACAAAAGTAACAAATTTATATTTTTTGGCAAAACTTTTTAACGATGATTATATTAGATTTTTGAATTTTCAAATTATCAGACATTGATCAAGGCATACATAAACGCCATACAAAATAAAGAGGAGTTTTAAGCGTTTTTGAAAAAAAAATCGAGTGAAAAGAAAATAAAAGCCAATTTTATCGTATCCAGGACTACGTTATGCACACAAAATATTAAATTTTGCATGCAAAATTTTTTTTCGAAAAATGTTTGTTTGCGTTAGAAATCGATTTGCGGTTGAAAAAAAAACAAAAAAATTTTTGGACCAAATTTTCAAAATAACTTGAAAATTTGTTTGTGTCGCCATCAAAAAAATGCCAGTCATACAATTTCCATATATGGGAATTGTATGATAAGCATTTTTTTCAAAAAACGAAAACCCCAGTTTTTTATCACCAGATTGTTTTATAAGAATCAAACAGCCACAGAAATGAGTTTTTACCAGTTTTTTAACCATTTTTAAAAATTGTATGAAAATTGTGCATGACAAGCATTTTCCCACACACTTGATGTATGGAATTGTATGATAAGCATTTTCGGTGTATGGAGGTCAACCCGAGCTAGCAGCTCAATATATGTTCACAAGTTTTTCAATTAGTTTCAGGGTGCCCGCACTACAAAATTGAATTGTATCGACTTATATCCGTTATAAATTAAATTAAATCGGACCCAAATTGATAAATCTTGTTAGTTTTAGAAACTAAAATGGAATTTAAAGCGATTTAAATCAATTCATTCAGGAAATATTGGACCAATTTCAGTATCTAAAAAATTGGTTTGGATGGATTTTGATAACCAGTTAAATCTCTCCAAGACTTGCCAAATTCGGTTTCAATCAGGTTTTGGGTTGTAATAAGATCAATTCTGTAGACTCAAAAGCAGTTTTCGACATATTCTCAATCATTTTTTAATCTACAAAGATTTCATAATCAAAATTTTGTACTCAAAAAAATCTACGTCTGTTTAACTGTGAGCTGCAGTCACTTAAAGAAGAATTGCCCTTGAAGAGTTGAATGCAACCTAACAAGGGGATACCTGGAAGATTCTGCAATCTAAGGGATCTTGCTTAAATAAAAAAAATGTTTAATGGCTATTCATATCAAAAATTGCATATTAATTAATCTCGTAGTTTCTTTTCATTTCAAAAATCAGCTCAAAAATATACTGAAAATCATAATGTACCTTTTTAAATTATAAGTTGTGTAAATTAGGTTTGAAAAAATGAACAACACTTGATTCAAATGTGCTTGAATCAATTTTTTAAATACAAAAACAAAACTACATGGGGATAAAAAAGGGTAATTTTTGTTCCGACTTTCGAAAAAAAAACGGAATATTTATGCTCGGTGGGGTTTTTTTATTCAGTCAATTTTCACCGATCGAAATAATAATTTTGAGCAAAAGATTTCATTCCCCATTGAAGATATTGACTTCCTGAGTTCAAATATAAAAAGATATTTCAGTTCCTTTTATTTTTTGTTAAGTTCTGGGGGTTTGAAAACTGCTGAGAGCGATCATTATGTATGCGTGGCGGAAGTGATATTCCTTTTAATAATTAAACTCGGGAAGTTGATATCTTCAATGGGGAATAAAAACTTTTGCTCAAAATTATTACATCGATCGGTGAAAATTGACTGAATAAAAAAACCACACCGAGCATGAATATTCCGTTTTTTCGAAAGTTGGCGTAACGCTCATTATGCTGAGAGCATAACGCTCATTATGTATGCGTGGTGACTTATCCCGCGCAACAAAATGGTTCCATATTGAATTGAGGTTAGCTAATTAGTCGTATTACCTTCGTACGAACATTACACTTAGATATTATCCAAAACGTATGGGTTTTCAATTTTTTTTCCACAAAATCTATTGGATATGAATTGAGGGACAGTCAGAACAATCAGGGCTTTGCCTTGATAGACGAACAGTCTTGTTTCGATTTAGAATTGATGCAATATTATTTTTCTGGTTTTAATGAGAGATCGAAATGGATTTTGAATCGATCAGAAAAATACTTTCGCTTTTCAAACTAAGATCAATTTCAATCGATTCAAAATTGATTTATTTCATTCATTTTATTGTTCCGACTTTCGTAACAAAAGTAACGGAATATTGGTGCTCGGGTGAGGTTTTTATTTTCAGAGAAATTTCGACCTTTTAACTAGCCATTTTTGACAAAATGCTTGTGAATCATTTGAAAATATTGTTGTCCTGAGCTTAAATGTGAAAAAAAATTTCACCTGTGATCATTTTTTGTAAAATTATGGGGGTTTAAAGATTGCCATTTTAGCCAGTTTGGAACAATTAATGCGCGATATTTTTCGCGCTATAAACGCGTAAGCGAGATTTAATCCGTCTTAGAAATCGTTCCAAATTGGTTGAAAGAAGCTTATTTGCCATAATTGATTTGTTAATCAATAATTTGGATTTAGATATTTTTAAGGATACTTTATACTCTCACAAAAAGTAATCATGGTGACCAGAAAAATGATAACAAGACTGGTCGTATCAGGGCGAAGCCCTGAATGTTCCGACTGCCTTTTAAGGTTTATGGAGCATTAATAACATAAAAAATTAAATGAAATAATGGAGCAGTAATAATATAAAAAATTAAATGAAATTAATTGTCCCAAATTAGCCAAAATGGCAATCTTTAAACCCCCATAAATTTACAAAAAATAATCACAGGTGAATTATCTCTTCAAATTTAAGCTCAGGACAACCATTAATTTTTGAATGATATAAAAAAATTCCGTCAAAAATGGCTAGTTAAAAAATCGAAATTTGTCTGAAGAAAAGCAACCCACCCCGAGCACAAATGTTCCGTTACTTTTGTATCAAAAGTCGGAAAAATAATCAAAATTACCGACAAACACTGATAGCGCACAGTTACATCCGTGATGAAGGAAGTGCAGCGGAGCAAGCGGTCGCTCGCTTCTTGCCAATGCCGAGTTTGAAATTGTTGTTCCGACTTGCTAATTGTTTTGATTTTACTAGAAAATTGATTTGCTACAAAACAGTCACCAAAGAGTGCTAGAACCTCAAAGCATAATTTGAGTGAAGCGTGTCAATCAAAAAACAGTTTTCACTGCCCTGTTCAATTTATAGATTAATCTGATGTCAGAGAAGTTATTTTGTTTGCATATTGTTATCTGTCGACATGGAGAACGCTGTGAACATGAATCAATAGTTCGAACTGTCGACAGAGTGGACGTAGACACCTGTGATAGCAGAACTTGATCTCAAGACGATATTTTTTATGATTTTATCTTTGTTTTAAGAGCTGTCTGGTGTGCATTTTTTGATCATTTTGCTTCAGCTTTGTAAATCACCTTCACCTCTTTTAAAGTCTGAAACTCAAAGTTTTGAAAAGTAATTTTTAGTCTGAAGCTTTAAAAATTATTTTCGTGCGAGTGTGAGTTTTTTATTACATATTTGCTATTATATTCGCAAAAAATTCCTATGTAACCACAAAACAAGCTGAATTTTTGTGTCTTTCGACGCCATGTTAAGCACAAAGGGCGGAATTTGGAGTCATGCACTCTTATAATTAGAACAAACAAAATGCTCGTATCAAGGCGACACAGTCAAAGTTCCGATTGCTTCTTACGCTTTATAGAATAATGTTCGCTATGAAAAAAAATGTTTGAAAAATGTTCGCTTTGTTTCGTATAAAGCAAAGTTCTAAACAGACCGAATATGATGCCTCAATTCAAATTGGCACTACTTTCCAAGACCGATTAAATCGCCGCTCACGCGGTAATAAAACGAAATTATCGCGCATTAATTATTGTCACAAATTGTCGAAATAGGCAATTAATCAATGAACCCCCATAACTTTACAAATAAACAACTCGCACCCGAGCTTAGGCGTAAGTTGTCGACTATAACGGCTGATTATGTTGGTAATTTGACAGGGGGCTATTCTCATGCGCGAAAGACCGAATGAGCGAAAAAAACTCGTGAGCGAAGAACCGAAAACAAAATTAGCCGAAAGTCATTTTTTAAAAAGAAACAATTGCCATTCAGTTGAATGAAGCAATATTTTGCTTCTTTCATAACGAAACCCTTGAAATATAAAGTTTTGTTCCAATTCGGCCAATATCAATATTCAGTCCCTGGAAATGTTTACTTTCTTTCCAAATTTTAGTTTACTGAAATCTGATTGGCTGATTTTTTGATTGACGCGCATTCGGTCCTTCGTCTATGAGGAATTCCACCATTTGACCATCATAATTGATTATTATTGTGATATTTTTAAAGAGATTATAATCTCTTCTAAACGATTATATTTGACTTTAGCTCATACAAAAACTCTTCAAATCGAATATAATCTGTATCTTGCCGAAACTTTTTCACACCAAAAGTATTACTCAATTAAATCATATTGGTTATTTTTTTTCGGTCGATATCAAATCTCTAAAAGTAAGATATCTGTCACACTTTCGTTCATCTGAGCTCAAAAATTTACCACGAAGCAAAAGTTTCATAGAGATTCCTTCTTTTTAGATGAAAGGTTCCCCGGGTAGGTGAAAAACAGTTCTATCACATACATCATGAAACTAAATCAATGCGCTGATATTTTTCAGCTCTAATCGAGAAGAAATGAACTCTTT